TGTGTGTGTGTGTGTGTGAGTGCATGGGTGTGCGTGTGTGTGTGTGTGTGTGTGTGTGTGTGTGTATAAACATAAAGATACATAACATAAATTACATGTGTGTGAGCACACATACACACAGAATCTCACCTTCAGGGTACTCGTAGCCTGTAGTTCTATCAATGAGGAGTTCAGCGTATCCTGAAGAGTGAAAAAAAAACATCTCTCACTCAATTCAGTTCACATGAACTTAATCCCTTCTGTAAACTCAGCATCTTCAATTTTAATTTAGTAATAAGTGAAGGTTATTGAAATCGAAATCCCTCAACGGGATCTTACGAACCAGTGTCAGAATCTCCATACACCGACAACAAGAAAAGGGATAAACATTATCACTTTCAACCTGTTGGCGGCAAATCATTCAACTGTTCTACTTTTGACTCTACTGATAAGTGGGTTCAGCACAGAAAATGAGTAGTGATAGTGGTATAATGAAAATAAAATGTGATATAGAAAACTGAGACGATGAAAATTTACCAGTCTAAGTGCACAGCTAACATGCGCTAGTGCTCTATCGGTTGAAGAGAATCCAGGGGTGCCAACAGGCAAGAAATTTTTTTTTTTTTTTTTTTTTAAACTACACTTTTCAGACCTGGAAATCTGTGCACGGGACTCCAAATTTATGAATCATATTGTCTGATACATCTAGTCTCAAGACTTTTTTAGTAAGAGTTTTACGGCACTTGCAACACAAAAAGGTCATATAAGTGCCGAAGATTAGAGGGGGTTACAAGAGAGTAACAAACACAAAAAAGGAGGAGGGAAGATATAAAGACAACAGATGTTTGATAGGAAAAAAGGAGCAAACCACACCAGAGCACCCGCCAACCACCCACCTAGTGTCAAGAAGACAGGCAATATCCAAACGATTTCAGAAAGATGAAATTGTTTGGATTTTGCCAGTCTTCTTGATACAAGTTGTATTGGACAATAACATGATCTGAAAATTTTTCCTCCTGTATGCAATCCAGATTTCCAAATTTATCCAGAAAATTGGCATCTCTGAGAATCTCTTCCATCATCCTGGGATAGTAGGTTGTGGGAACAGGCAGTGGGTAAACAGATTGTGAGCCGAGTGTTATCTTGTACTAATTTTCAATTTCAAGACTTTGGGGGTTTGGGAGTCCTTGTCACAGCTGTCCAGGCAGTCCAGAGAATTAACAATTTCAGCTTCATTTTATACCAACCCCTGTTTTCGTGAAGGAAATTCGGGGTGCTTTCAGTGTGGTTTATGATGTAAAAACCAGAAAAATGGAAGTCAGGTTTTGTGCCACCTAGCACCCAGCAACTGCAACATGGCACATTTGGGGGCGGGGGGAAGAATCCCTCACTGTTTGTTATAGTAAAGTTTCACCGCCCTCGAAACTACATAAAGAATGTTTTAGTTTTAGTAAAGGTTTTACGGCACTCGCAACTGCATAAGGTCAAATGAGCGCCAGAAGATTAGAGGTGTTACAAGAGAGTAACAAACATAAAAAAGAAGAAGGGGAGATAAGAACGATAGATGTTTGAATGGAAAGGAGAAGCAAACCACACCAGAGCACACGCCAACCACCCACACATAAAGAATCCCTTACTGCTACGATACAAATTGCTGACAGCTACGATGTACCAAAAGAAGAAAAAAATACTTAAATCGCGGACAGCTCCACAGATCAAAAATAAAAACAAGTCACTGACAGCTATTCAGTTCAAAAATTAAAAAAACAATACTCTGACTGCAATTCAGTTGAAAAAAAAACAATAAAAAAACATACAAACAAACAAAAATTTCTCATTACTTAGAGGTTTTAATAAAAAAGAGAGAGAAAAAAGGCAGATTTCCACTGGACACTTCTAGACAATGCACAAAGCAATGAACAATCCTTACCACACGGTTCTTCATAGCAGGAATGGTTTGACTGTCCAAAGTTCGGAGGCGTGCAGCACTATTTAAAAGTGTTTCCTTATCTGGTGAGGGCTGAAGAAAGAAAGAAAGAGATAATAATAATGATGATGACAATGAAAATGATAATGATAATAATAATCTTTATCTCTGGCAAGCCGCTGACAGCGGCTCGCGGTCTGACCCACCACTGTGCCGGTGAGCCGCTGACAGCAGCTTGAGCACATTCCTTTACGACGACTTCGACATCAAATTACTTTTCGGCAATTGCCGAAAACAGGTCTCATATACCGGAAGTTCATTCATTAGATGAAGAACTATCGAACTAGGTTTGCTAGTTTCGATTTAATGACATATTAAATTATGTTTTTGTCATTTTTTTATTTAGTACCAAAAAAGAGCCCCTACATAGTGGGTTTACCCCCCCTCGGAGAAAAAGAGTTAATAATAATAATAACAATAATAATAATAATAATAGTAATAATGGTAATAATAATGACAACAACAACAATAATAATAATTATAAAAACAAAAATAATTATCAATATCATCATAATGATAATAATAAAAACAACAACAAAAACCACCACCATCGTCATCATCATCATAACAACAACAATAATAACCATCATCATCATCATCATCATAATAATAATAACAATAAAAATAATAGTAATGATGATGATGATGATGATAATAATAATAATAATAATAATAATAATAATAATAATGATGATAATAATAATAATAATAATAATAATAATAATAATAATAATAATAATAATAATAATAATAATCCCAATATAGGATTTATCTAGCACTCTATCCGGTATGGTAGGGCAACAAGCTCTGAACGCTGGACAATCATTTAAAGTGGACAACACACATGCACCAAAAAAAAAAAAAAAAACATTCACTGAACTGAAAAAAGAATGGCCGTATTCATGATCTAAAAATATATGTTTTCAATTAGATATTCAAAGTCTCAGTATTTTCTTTTTCTCTCAATTTTTGTAGGAATTGTGTTCCAGGTTTTTGACCCACTAAAAGCAAAACATCTTTCACCAAATGAATAGGATTTCACTCTGGGTATCATAATCACCTCGACTCACTCTTTTCCTTTCATTATACCCTCACTCTTTCTTCTCATTATCCCCTCACTCTTTCTTCTCATTATCCCCTCACTCTTTCTTCTCATTATCCCCTCACTCTTTCTTCTCATTATCCCCTCACTCATTCCCTTTCATTATCACTTCCCTTTTCTTCCTTCATTATCACTTCACCTTTCTACCTTCATTATCACTTCACCATTCTTCATTCATTATCACTTCACCATTCTTCCTTCATTATCACTTCCCTTTTCTTCCTTCATTATCACTTCCCTTTTCTTCCTTCATTATCACTTCCCTTTTCTTCCTTCATTATCACTTCACTATTCTTCATTCATTATCACTTCCCTTTTCTTCCTTCATTATCACTTCACTATTCTTCATTCATTAAATCACCCGACATTCCTTCTTTTCTCTTTTCCTCCAAACGTTTTTTAACCACACACCTATCTCTATCAAATACATCCTTTCCTGTCACATCCGTCAGAGGACTTATGTGGTGTAAGCGCACCTTAAGAATAGGTCATGTAGTGTGAACGTACCTTTATAGTAGTTATTGTGACATAGGACTAAAGGACATATCACGTGACAGAGACCTCATGTGATTTCGTGCAAGACGCGGGTAATCAAGTGTCACTCACTCACTGAAGCCGAAACGAGTAACATCGGCTAACCAAGAACTACCAGAAGACGACCAACAGGTGGGGCCCCACCAACATCAACTACCATCAAGAGCTACTACTGCAAGACTCAAGTAAGTCGTAACATAACAACTTATTAATCAGTAAACCTTAACAATTTAAGTATCTAACTAATAGAAACACATATTATCTATCTCCCTTGTGTAAATACTTATCACTATTTCTAAATTTACTTTTTCTAATTGTGACTGTCAGCAGAGGCAAGCAAAATTTCCCCAGACGGTAATAGATAATCAAATCTTATCACACAACCTCACACATGCTTGCACCTTAGGCCTCAGTTTGGTAAAAATTTTACAGCACTTACAGCTGCATAAGTTGCTGCACCTTATGGTATAGTAGGATCGACCTTTTTTTTCTATTTTCATTTTCGAAGTGACGAGTCCGAATAGAGAAAAATTATATTCGGACTCTGAATTGTGAGTCCAGGCGGACGTCTGTTCCGACTTCCGACCCTTGTTCCTAAATATTTCCAGCATGTACGAACTTTTTTTCGATTATAATTTATAATGATAACAGTCGAGACGTGAGCTTTAATATCCAGTAACTAGATCTAGATCTATCTAAACTGGCCCTCCCTGCATCATTAGTATGAACAGAACAACTATGTTGAGCTGACCTTGCCGGGGGCAAAGTTAATTATGTCTACCAATGAGATTGCGCGTTGCGATCTAGCACTCTCGGCTTGCTGGGGGAAGAGGTGTTTGGAAGAATTCACGGCTGTCCGATGTGATTTTTAAAAAATAATTACAGAAAAACTATAACACACAACAAAATGAAATTAAACATGTGGAAAGACAAATGGTGGTGGGAGTAATGATGATGCTATAGTGGATGTGGAAAGACCCAGAGTTGTCGTTTACCGTGTACTTAGACACTGCCATTGGGTAGATCTAATGAGAGTGCAGTCCTTTGATTTTTTTGTCACAATTAGTCCTAGTAGGCAATTCTAGTTCTAATTCTGGTTTTACGTAGAATCCCACCGACAACATTTACCTCATTAACCTCCTTACACTCACATAACTCACTTAGAAGCTGAGTCCGAAAAAATAAATCCTTTTTTCAGACCCAAGTCCGTATAGATAAAACCCATAATCCGACTCGAGTCCGAATAGATAAAAATTATATTCGGACTCGAGTCCGAATACAGCTGGCCTTTTATTTTTCTTTGTCCTCCCCCTTTTTCTCACACACTATTCTTAATCTATCCTTTCATCCTTGCAGACCACCAAAAGAAAATCTGCCAATACATAAGCTGCTCTCTCCACACCTCTCAGATAACCTTACAGTGTTGAAAAGGGCAGTAAATAAACCTATACAATGATGAATGAATGCATGATTGAATGACCTCCCTTTCTATCTAAAAGTCAATGCCTGTGTTCATTCATCAAACAGTCATGCAAATTTATCCGTCCGTCCGTCCGTCCGTTCGTCCGTCCATTAGTCCGTCTGTCAGTATCTTAAACAATCCAATGCTTACAAAGTTATTGGCAAATGCCTCCACTGTTGATGCCAGAGTCGAAAGTTCTGTCTTTGTCAGCTGCTTGTTCAACTGAAATCAGAAGGAGCAACAAAAAAAATAGGCATGAATTAGGAGGGGAAAAAACAGTTTCAAGGCAAACAGACATAAACTGGTTTCTACTAGGCCTACCTGAAAAGAAAATTTGTTTTAAAAACTGGACAGGGAATGAAATCGAAGGATATTTTTTTCAGCCTGATTCTTGTTACCAGTTTCCCAGTTCGTTTTTTTTTTTCTTCTGATAACCAACCATGAGTCACCAAACTTTTCTCAAAGTGGGCTGGATAACTGAGAAAATGCCAAGTGTGGGCTGGACAACTACTTGTGTCACGATGTGGTGGAATCAGGCGTCTGTAAATTTTTGGGCATGTGGAGTTATTGGTATCATCTGAGAGTTCACTCATTTGCCTTGCGCTTTCAATGAAAAGAAAAACCATTTATCTTGAATAGAAGTCGAAATATTTGTGATTGAAGGAGATGGGGTCACCTAGTTTCTGTGTTAAAATTAAAGACAAATGTGTTGAGCCAAAAAACAAAACTTTAATAAAAATTGTCAAACTGGCAGAAAAATGCCTGTTTCTTCAGTTTCATTATTTTGACGGGCGCCTGATTTCACCTCGATTCCTCACATTTTGTTCTATACAAAAACCTAAATACATTTTTTAAAACTAGATAAACTACAAGCTATGAAGTCTTTACAAACACATCTAATTTTCACCATAGACCTAAAGTTCAATGAAACGATTTTATTAAATTATTTTGGTAACCAAGTCCAGAGCACACTACAAACGCATTTTCCAAGGGTTCTTTTTTTCCTGTACGGTGGTATGGCAGTAAGCCTGAAAGACAGATTTAGCAAGCCAGATGTGGCCCGCGGGCCAGTTTTGTTACCGCCAGCTCTAGAGTAAAGGGGTAGAGGTTACCTGCAGGTAAGAGCTTGACCCCAAGTTCACATAAACATATTACATACTCTCCGAAATAGCTGCGGAAAAAATACGGTATATATGCAACGGACAAACAGCATCAATCAAACAGCATGAACTTTGTACAATCTACACTACCTGTCATGTTCCTCTTTCCTGGACAACAATTTTTTAATAAATTTCCACTCAAATGAAACCTGTTCAGTTCCAGTTTTCTAAACAAACGTTCTTCCGTGCATTAAAAGACAAGAAATTATATCAGCAAACTGATGATGTATTCTGGTCAGGCCAAAAATACATGACAGTAGTATCAAAGTTTTTTAAGAAAGCTAAAGGACACTCCACCGAAATTCAACAAGAATCCTTACAGGAATCGTTGTACCTAGAAGTAAATTCATCACACATATTACAGAACTCAGTATCAGGATTTCAGTTACTCAGCCAAACAGCAAACCACTTTCGAGACATTCAAGAATTTGACTTGAATCTACAAAAAAGGACAATGGCATTACACTCAAACCATGTAATGAACAAAATAGGAGAAATTTTTTTTTTCCACTTTTTATTTTATTTTATTTTATTTCTTCTTTTTTTTCTTTCTTTTTTTTTCCTTTTTTTCTTTTTTTTCTTTTTTTTTTTTTTGGGGGGGGGGGTGTTTACAAGCATTACTTAGGTCAACCTGCAGACCCTCAACAAAACCCATGAGTCACAATGCAAGAGCATTGTATCAAAAAAACAAGTATAAAGATACTGTGATGATACTGTGATCAAACTTTTGTGCCCCCTCTCACCATTTAAAACACAGGATTGGTCTTTTTTTTCTGGTTTTCTTGCACGTTGAAGAAGTTTTTTTGGGGGGAGAAACCAGTACCGTGGCAAGAGCATATATATATCATCATGACTATACTTGATGAAGCAAAGGAGAAAGACCCACACCTTATCTAAGAAATAGACTTTGTAACATAAAACACATTCTGCCACTGGCTTCAACTTTGCACAGCTTGTCAATTACTCTGATATTCCATGTTCCTTTTTAATTTTAAATTAACACTCAAATTTTAAAAAATCTTACTTTGTAACATAAAACGCTGCTGGCAAAACTTTCCCACCTGTTTTTGCGACGGATGTCAAAGAGCAATGACTAGGAAGACAATATTTAAACTTTGAAAAGACATTCATCACTTGTTTCTACACGCTCTGACTTAGCATAACTGAGCATGCTCCTTCAAAACTTCAATGGTGCCTGTTTAAAAAAGTGAAGCATGTAGAGATGATCCTAATCATAATTTTCTTATTGTTTAGAAAGAATAAGAAAAACAGACAGATACAATTTGGGGAAGAAAGAAGAAGGGGGACATAGCACTGCAACTAACACTCAGCTCCAACAATTATACGACTTCCCAATTAAGTGCTGAAAATATCTTAGTGCGACAAATTACAAAATTGAAAAAGGAGAAGTACATCACTGCAATAATGGTCATTTATTGCTGGGAAAAAAAGTAAGATAGACTGAAACAACAGAAGGAAAGTCAACAAGTGGGACCTACCGGTGGTGCCCTCAACCACCAACAAGGAAGCAGCTTATGAAAACACCCTGCCATGCATTCACACACTCAAGAGCATTAGAAATTGAAGTTCTCTACAAGACCAAAAAATGCTAGTTTTTCCCAACTATTTGCTTAATACCACTTCATCAGACACAAGAAGACAAATTCAGACTTTTCCTTACACTTACACAGATTTTCTTGTGATAGAAGTAGAGGATGTTATACCACAGTCAACAATTTCAAGAAGTCACATTGGCAGATGCAATCAAATATCAAACCAGTACTAACAATAAAAACACAAAATAACAGATGTATCTTCTGAGCATTGAGTTTTCTGCTAAGAGGTAAAGGTAAAAAAACATTAATGGCAAATGCACATGATGCAATAAACCCGTGAAAACTCACTAGTTTTGTAAATTAAGACAAATGACTTTCACCTCCCTTGACACAATTTTAACCATAAATTAGTCGTAAGGTGTTGCCCATCCTGCCTGTGAAGGACAACCCAACCTGAGCGGGACTGTGCATGCCAGCAGAAAGGGAGAGAAACTAGACACAATATCTTTTACTATAATCAAACCCAAATCTTTTCAAAATAAAAGCAAAGAGCCTCACCAGCAAACCACAGGAGACAGTTTCATGACCCTCTAGCAGACTTGCCAACTTTTAAAAAACCCAGTCAAGGACATCGAATGTTATAACATCAGATTACAAAGAAACGAACAAAATTACACCATGTGGGGTTGATTTTGGTGTAGTGTGCGTGATAAGGCTCTAAAATCCCCAATTACCGGTCGCGGGAAATTCAGAACAGTTGACAAGCCTGTTTTAGCTTCTTTTATGTTTTATGAATAGTGTTACTACAATCATCTACTGAATGGACCGTTGAAAAGTGTCCACAAACAAACAATGTGATATTACTTTCCACCAGATACATCTAGACTTTATCCTTTAAAATAACCTTTAATTACTCTGAAGTTGCAAAAAATGTACATGCCACATGTTCTTTCAACCTCCAAAAGTCAAATTTCCTCCTATCTTTCTCGACTTCAGTGGGAACATTATCTCAGCCCATATCATGTGCGCATAACACTGTAAAATTCTCAAGTGCAAACACTACTTACTCAGCGGCTCCATAACCTGCACTATGAAGCAGACTACTCGGATGCATGCATATGTTACAATGTAGTACACGTATATTTCACAGCTCTTAAAGACTCTCCGGAAAAAACTTCTGGGTGAGAGAAAAATCTCCTACAAAGGAAGAGCAAAACTCCAAACTATACCCAGGTTCAAATTCTAATAAGTGGATAAAAATAACATCTTGCTGCCTATTCGCACATCTCCTTCCTTAACTCTCAGATTCATCTCAGACATGAAAAGGCTACTTGGATTTTTAAAATCATCAGGAAGAGACCTGAAATGTGACATATCATTAGCAAGATAAATAAGCCATAGAAAACTGTACTGGAAAGTTTTTTTAAAAAGTAAATTTTAAAAAAGAAAACGATGATTCAATCTTAGTTAAGGAAAGGACATCTTAAGTTCCAAAAATCCAAACTGGGTTAGTAAACTGGAAACCTGTGTGAGAAGTCATATAAAAAAAAATTCGGACCTGCAAAAAATTATAAATCAATTTGTACTCACTAAATGTTTGAGCCCCAAAATGACCATTAGATCTATTAGATAAAATTATTTATTGTGATAAAGACCAAGATTGCTGAAAACCAACCAGTCGTCAGGAAAAAAACCACTCTCTACTGGCCAGGTAAAACCCAGCAACCTGAAGAGAATTAGAGGAGCGAAAACTGACGAAACATGAAACCAAACTAGTCATTCCAGTAAGTAAAATATCTAGCAAGATCTACTGGTAATTAGAGTCAAGGATAAACACAATGCAACAATTAGAGAGACACTATGAACACGAGAGAGAGAGAGACAGGCTGGAGAAAAAGAGAGCACAAGACTTAGTATGACAAACAGAAAGCATATCAAACACAACCTACAACGGAACAGGCAACCTCTCGCACTTAATTCAAGGAAACCTTTTCACTCCTAACCGACCAGGCATCACATGCTAACTAAATAAGTTTGCATGCCTTCTCATTCTTCACGACAAACAAAAATTTATGAGAACAAATTCATGACAAAAACACTTTTCCATTCTAGGGGAAAGGGGAATTTTAAATAGTATCCATTTATATTCATTTCTTGTGCCTCAATACAAGAATCACAACGGAGATAATTTGATACCTCAGAATTACAAAGTTCTATTTGCTCAGTACCTAGAATCTAGTTTTGAGAAATTTGACGTAAAAATTGTAGAGTTTCACAAAATGTCATGCTTTTTCTAACGCAATTCTTGGAATATCTTGATAATGACTCTGAATATTTTTAGGATTTTGATAGAGCAGGACAGATTTTGGGTTGCTGACCTCTTCGTCTTAGTAACTCAAAACAGCCAAAAGCTTCAGATAGAAATTCGTAATTCTGAGACAGCGAAATTTCAAAACGATATTTCTGATCTTATAGTCATTTGTCCAAGCGCACATATGTTGTGTGT